TAAATGTGCTTCAATGATAAAAAGAAATTTTAATTTTAATTTTAAACTTTTTAAAACTAATAAAATGATTGTAATAAAGAGAAAAATGAAGAATTTAATAAAAATAAAGATATTTTGCTAATGAAAGACATATTTTCATCTAAAGATCTTTAATATGAAAAAATAAAACATTTATATTAAAATGAATTATATGGAATATCGTTAAAAGAATAATTAGAAACAAAAAGAAAAAATGAAAAAAAAGATGATAATATAAATAATAAATGTATAAGAATAAATTATAAATTATATATTTATATATATATTGTTTTAAAGATTATTCAAATACTAATTAATCAAAAGAAATTTTTAAAAGACATTAAGATGTAATTAATTTTTTAAATCCTAATTATAGATAAATTTTTTCGGATAAATTTCATTAATAGAAAGATTTTAATTTAAATGTTTAAATTTTAGAAAGAAAGCTTGATTAAAGTTTAAAGAAAAAATAATAAACTATTGAGTAAAAAAAATTATTTTAATGTAAAATCATTATATATAAATAGAAATGAAAATTAAAACATATTTTTAACATCAATTTAATAAAATGAGAATTTATAAAGTTCTTTTTCTTTATAAAAATAATTAAATTCATAGAGACAAAATACCGAATAATAATTAACTAAAAAAAAATTTTCTTTATATTCATAGCATTAAAAAATTAATTATGGTTAAAAGTTTATAAAATTAAATAAATTATAAAAAAATAATGAATTTAAATTAAATATATCTAATTCAAAAACAGAAAAAAAGAATTTATGGATTATGCTTATTAAAAATAACTCCTTTCATAAGAATTATATAATGTGCGTAATATAAATAATATAACAGGTCATTAAGCTAAATAAATATTATTCAAAAAACAAGATTTAAATTAAAATTTATATTATTTTCCAAAAAGTGTATAATCTTTAAGTAAAGAAAAAATATAGAATTCTACATAAAACATAAGCTATAATTTAAAAAATGAATGCTTATTATAAAAAAAGAAAAAAATGTTTTAAAAACATTATGTAAAATTTACAAAGAAAACTTGTTTAATCAAAACAAAAACAAAAACAAAAAAATTAAGAAAATAAAAATTCATAAAAGATAACAATTTTTAGAATATTTGAGAAATATTTGAGAAAAAAAAATTCTTATTAATAAAATAATAATATATATTTCATTTTTAATATATATAAATTAAATATATATTTTAAACTTGAAATGTTTTTTAACATATTTAATATTTATATTTCAATAATTTTATTAATATGTTGGGCAAGCAATTATTAAAAATATAAAAAAAATATATTTTATTTAGTTATAAAAAAAAGTATAATTATATATAAACACAAAAAATTAAAATTATGAAAAATTATAATAAATATTTTTGATAACATTTATAATAATTTTATATTATTATATAAATAATAGATATATTTAAAATTAAATAATTATATATATATATATATCTAATTATATATATATAGATTAATCTAATATTTTTATATCATTTATATTCCATTTTATATAATTAGTTAATTATTAGAAATATTTATATTTCTTTCTTTTATATTATTATTTTTAAAATACTTATTTAACATTTTTCTTATTTTATTTTATATATTTTCATTTATATTAACTTTTTATTATATATTTAAATACATTTATATATATTTTTTAATTTTTTTCTTAGTTAAAAACAATACTTATATGATAATTTATTTATGGATTTTATTTATATTTATTATATTTTTTATAAAAAAAAAAGATAAAATATAATATTTTATAATATATTAATTAAAAAATAAAAACAACATAATATATATTTTAATTTATTATATTTAAATAAAATATATTTATATATTTTTTTTTTGATCAGAAATTTATGAGTTAAGATTTATAATAAGATATAATAGATTAATTAAATTAACCTTAAACAATCTAAGGATTACTTGTAAAAATTTATAAAAATAAATCATTATAAAAATAAAAAGTCAACTAAGGTTCAATAAACGAAATTTCCAAAAGATGCTAAATTTAGAGATTTATTGAAAAAAAATAAAGTATAGCTTTTTATTATTTTTCAAATCATCATTATATAAAAAATACTTTCTAATTAAAAGATATAAAATCAAATATATTTTTTTTTTTTGACTTGTAAAATAAAATAAGATAATAATGAAGTATTTTATTTTATGAATAAAACATTAGATCAAATAAATATCCGATTATTCATAAATATAATTAATACGACAATCATATATATATATATAGTTATTAGAAAAAAATAAATAATAATGAAAAAAAATAAAAAATAATATCTTTTAACAAAAATATAAAATTAATTAATTTAAATTTTATTTTTAATCTAAAACAAAAAAATATTAAATAAATTAAAATTATTTATTGTAAATAATATATTAATAAATAAATTTAAATAATATATCCATTTAAGAAAAAAACAATATCAATAATTATATTAAAATAAAATAATAATAAATAAAATTTTTATTAATAATATAAATAAAAAAAACATATATAATATATTTTACAAATATTTGAATAAAAAAAAATCAATTAAAATAATATTAATATAAATTATATATATATAAATATATATATATAAATATATATATATATATATATATATATTAAAAAAATGAGTTAATTATAAATTTAATAAATTTAAACAGATTAATAAAATACTCCTTTAGGATTTAAAGTAAAAAATAAAAAAAAACCAAAAATAATAAATATTATTAAAGCAAGTTTAGGCTGAAAAATTAAAATTTAAAAATGATGCAACATTTGAAGATTTTATTAATAAAGATAAAATTTTATCTTTTTTTATTTTTCAAATCATTCATAAACAAAACATATTATTAATGAAAAAGATGTAAAAGAATTTGATGACTTATAATTATAATTAAGGGAAAGATTTGGATACACTAGATTTATTTCATTAGTATCTATATATGCACTTTCAAATTATATATATAAGTTTAATATTCCAATGGCAATTACATACAAATTTTCAGTTTATAATGTTTTATTTAAATATTTAGTATTTCCTTCCTTTTTTGCATCAGCTGTAAGTCATTTTTTTTTCGAACCAAGCTTTTATAGACAAGCTAATTTAATTATTGAAAGATATAATTTTTATGATAATTCTATATTTAGATAGTTATTCGAATAAAATAAATAATAATGATAAAAAATTTGATATTATATATTTTTTTTGTATCAAAAAAATAAAAATAAATTTAATATATTAAAAATAAATAAATAAAAAATTTAACTCTAAGTAAGTTCTTAAAGTTAAAATATTAATCAAAATAGGAATTTTTATAAAAATATTTTATTTAATGTATAAAAATTATTTAAGTTATAATCTCCATTAATCAAAAATATAAATAATATTTACTTTAGAGTAGAAAATAATATATTTTGTTAGTATGTTTAATTATTTATTAAATAAATGAATATGTATTTATATATTTATTTTAAAATATATATATTTATAATTTAGCAATTAAAAAAATATTAAATCAATTAAATATTAATCTTTTTCGAAAAATAAATTCTATTAGAAATATAGGATATATACATATTTTTATATTGTAATTTAATGTTTTCACTCAATAAAAAATATATAATTATTTTCAGAATAAAAAAAAAAAAAATTAATAAGTAGATTTTAAAAATAATACTTACATATATTCTAAACATTTATAAAATATTAAATAATTAGAAATAATTAAACTTAATCAGTTTATTAAAAAAAAAAAAAAATTATAAACTAAAAACATTCTATATAATATTATAATAAATAAGATAGGAAATAATAAGTTATAAAAAATTTATATTTAAAAAATAATTAAAAAAAAATATTTTTATAAATTTTTAAAAATAATAATAATAAAAAAAATATAAGTTAAAACAATTGTGTATAATTTATTTTAATAAACTTAGAAATCTATAATAAATATATATATATATATATATATATATATATATATATATATATCAATATTTATATTAATATATATTTTTTTATTCATATTTTATTTTATTTTTTAATTATTTATTATTTAATTAATAAATAATTTTTTTTTAATATTATTTAAGAACATATGTAAATATTTATGTTTTAATTAAAATTTTTGCAAATTTACATCCTTATTTTATTTGCATTTAATATAATATATACTATATTAAGTAAAAATAAATTTTCAAAATTTATTAATAATATAAAAAAAACTTTTATAAATTATTTAATATATTTTGAATTAAAAGACATTTATAAATTTTTATTTATATTTATAAATATTTCTAATTTAATATGAGATTTTTTAAAAAAAACTTTATTAAACAAAATAATAATAGAAAATTTAGAATTTATAAATTTGAAAATTTAAATTTATTCAATTTTTCAGATTACATCTATTAAATAATATTTGAGTTTTAAAATAATATTACATTTTTAAATTAAATTTAAATTTATAATAATTAATAGTTTTAATAATAATAAAACAAATGAAATTATCATTAGTTAAATTGTTTATAATAAAATCAAAATGAAAATAATTGAAATTTTAATGTATTTTATTAATATATTATAATTATAATATATTGAATAAATATGCATATTCTATTTATGTATAAATTATAAATAAATTAAAATATATTTTTTAAATTTTTTTTTTTATATTTTAAACAATATTTTTTTATTTATTCGAATAATAAAATAAGTATTTATTTTTTTAATTATAAATTATTTTGTTTAAAAAAAACAAAAAGAATTTTTTTTCTTTTTTTTAAAAAATCTTACAAAATTTCAAATAAAAATAACAAGAAAAAAAAAAAAAAATTTAATTAAAAACAAAAATAAATAAAAATAAAAAAAAACATAAACAAAAAACAAATAAAATTAGAAATAAAAAAATAATAATAATAATAAAAAAAAAAATATAATAAAAGTAAAATAATAATATATGATTAAAAGATTCGCAACTTTATTAAATAAAAACCAAAATCTAACTCCATAATTCTTATTCAGAACTTCCTCGAATTACCAAAACAAGAAATTAAGTACAGGTGAAGCATCCGTAGTCTTAGCTGAAAAGATAAAAGGAATAGCTTAATAAGTAAGAAAATCTCTAAAAAAAAAAAAAAAAAAAAAAAGAACGATATAACCGAATATGGTACAGTTATTTCAATAGGTGATGGTATTGCAAGAGTATTTGGGCTTACAAAAGTTTAAGCAGGTGAGATGGTTGAATTCAAAAGTGGTGTAAGAGGTATGGCTTTGAACTTAGAAACAGATAATGTTGGTATAGTCGTATTAGGTAACGATAGGTAAAATTAATAAAAATAAAAATGTTTATATAATCATAATAATATGTAAAAAATAGAGAAATAAAAGAAGGCGATGTAGTAAAAAGAACAGGAGCAATTGTAGATGTACCAATAGGAGAAGCCATGTGTGGTAGAGTATTAGATGCATTAGGGTATAATATATATATATATATAAATAAATATATATATTTATAAATATGTTTTAAAATATATATTTATATGTATTTAATATTTTTATATATGTTTATTATATATTAGTAATCCCATTGATGGTGCTGGTCCCATAAAAGGTAGTGAAAGAGCTAGAGTAGAAGTAAAAGCTCCAGGTATTATTCCCAGATAATCTGTAAATGAACCCATGTAAACTGGTATAAAATGTGTCGACTCTCTTGTACCTATTGGAAGAGGTTAAAGAGAACTTATAATTGGAGACAGACAAACTGGAAAAACTGCAGTTGCTATTGATACTATTTTGAATTAAAAAGAAGCCTTTAATACCGGAGATATTAATAAATAATTATATTGCATTTATGTAGCTATAGGTTAAAAACGTTCTACTGTAGCAAATTTGGTAGGAACTTTAAAATAACATGATTGTATGAAATTTACTATTGTTATTTGTGCTACAGCTTCTGATGCAGCTCCTTTATAATTTTTAGTATTTTTTATTTTTTAATAAATATTTATGTATATATATATATACAAGGCTCCTTACTCAGGTTGTGCTATTGGTGAATATTTCAGAGATAATGGAAAGCATGCTCTTATTATATATGATGATTTATCTAAATAGGCTGTTGCTTATAGATAAATGTCTCTTCTTTTAAGAAGACCTCCTGGTAGAGAAGCTTATCCTGGTGATGTATTTTATTTACATTCACGTTTACTTGAAAGAGCCGCTAAAATGAATAAAACTCACGGAGCTGGTTCTCTTACTGCTTTACCAGTCATTGAAACCTAAGCTGGTGATGTATCTGCTTATATACCTACTAATGTCATCTCTATTACTGATGGTTAAATCTTTTTAGAAACTGAACTTTTCTATAAAGGTATTAGACCAGCTATTAATGTAGGTCTTTCTGTATCTAGAGTAGGATCTGCAGCTTAGATTAAAGCTATGAAGAAAGTTGCTGGGTCTTTGAAAAACAGACTTGCATAATATAGAGAATTAGCTGCTTTTGCATAATTTGGGTAATTTGTAAATTTATATATATAATTAATTATTTTTTTAAAAAAAGTTCTGATTTAGATGCTCATACATAATCTGAATTAAATAGAGGTGAGAAATTAACTGAATTATTAAAATAGAAATAATATTAACCAATGAAAGCTGAAGAATAAGTATGTGTTATTTTTGCAGGCGTAAATGGTTATTTGGATAATCTTTAAACTTATGAAATTCGTAATTTTGAAAGTAAATTTTTGGAACATATTAGAAGTAATCATGCCTCCCTTTTATAAAGAATTAGAGAAACTGGAGACTTGAAAGATAATGATGTTAATGAACTTAAAACTGCTATACCACTTTTCATTTAAGAAGGTGGATTTAAAACAAAAAATATTTGAGCAATATTTATTTGAAATAAATAACATTACCTAAAGGAAAAATTCAAATATTTTTCTCTTAATTTAGAAAAACTATTTCTTTGATTTTTTATATTTTTTTTTTTTAATGTTTTTTTTTTTGTTATATAAATAAAAAAAGTAAATCATAAATAAGAAATTTAATAGTATAATATTTATTTCGAATATAATATATATAAGAATATATATATATATATATTAAATCTTTTAGTTTATATCATTATCGAATATTCTTATCCATTCTATTACAAGTATCTTCTAAAAGCTTAATTAAACTATCTGTCGTACCTTCTCTATCTTTTTTCTCTTACTTTATATATAAGAATAAATATATATATATATATATATATATATATATATATATTTATATATATATATATATATTAATTAACACTAATTTCTATTTAAAGCTTAGAATGAATTTCTTCTATCATTCTGAATATTTTCCCTTATGTTTCTTCTCTAACCTATAATATAATTTATATTTTATAAATTCATCATATTAAATGTTTATATTTATTTATATTCACTTTTTTTTCTATAGTTAAAACATCGTGAAATTTATTTAATTCATTTTCGATTTCTTCAGTTAATGCATTAGTAGATTCTTCTCTTAATAAAATAAAAAAAAATATATTAATATTTTATGTTATTTTACCTTTTTTTTTTTTCAAATTCTACTTATTCTCTCAATAATGAAATTTAATTTTAAACTTCTTATAATTTTGAAGTGGTAATTTCTTCATATTATTTATTATTTTTGCCTAAACTAACATTTATATTTTAAAATTTATCGTCTACTTATTTTAATAAATTATTTTCTATAGCTCTTTTAGCCTTTTTTTATTTTATTTAAATTTTTTCCCATTTTTTTTACTGATTTTTCTTCTTCGATAAGATTCTTTAAATTTTCGTTTAAAAATTTTGTTTCTTTTACTTTTTTTTCATTAAAACCCTATAAAAAAAAATACTAAACTAAAAAACATTTATATATAGATATAAAATAAAACATGTGATTAATTCTTTCCATCATCTTACATATTTTAAAGTTTATTTAGTGCATCTTTTAATAACTTTTTTATATTTGTTTAGTTTAAAAAAATACAAATATTGTTATATAAATATAAAAACTACTTTAAATCTATTTTCATCTGTAGGTCTTTACTAATTTATTCTGTCTTCTAAATTTTAAAGCTTTTCTTCCAAAACATCTCTTCTATCTTGTTTTTCTTTATCTATAGTTTCTGCAATGTTTTGCCATTTTTAATTAAGAAGTTAAATTCTAACTTTATTCGGGGATTCTTGATTTTTGATTTATATATATATGCAATTTCTTTTTGAATAAATATATATATATACCTTCTTAATTATAAAAATTTTATTTATATGGAGAATTCATTTTTAGAAAATATAACTTTTTCTATTATTTTTGTTTTGTTTTGTTTAAATATTTTAATTTTATTTAAAAAAATATAAATAATAAGTAAATTAACAAAAAAACTAATATATTTTAAAAAAATATATATATTTTTTATATATATAAATAAATAATATATATATTATAATATATTTATATGTATTTTTTTTTTAAAAAAAAATTCAATTATCTTCATCAATTTCTTCGTTTTCTTCGTCTTCATATTAAGCCTCTTCATTTTCGTCTTTTTAACCGCCTTCAAGATCTTCAAATCCTAAAAAATTTACATATATATTATTTAATAAATATATTATAAAAAACTAACCTAATATATCTTCACAGAATGTTTAAGCATTAATTAATTAAGGAGTATCTTCTTCTAATTCACCGACAAGTATTTTAATACATTCTATAAATTTATAAATATATCAATATATATATATATTATTTATAAACCATCAAATTCTTCTGGAGTCATTTTTTCGCCTTCTGTAGTAAGAATTTTCTTTAACTCTTAAATATTAATTTCACCTTTTCCAGCATTTTCTTAAGTAATTTCTTTAAAAGCTTCTTCTATTTAGGATTTTCCAATTCCATAAGCAGGTCTATGATTAATAAACAATCTTTAAATAGATTAAAATTATTGATAAATATATAAATATAAATATAAATTTTAACTTTAAAACATATTTAAATCAAGTTCATCAACTTCAATACCTGTTTCTAAATATTTTGAAAATTTGATTTCATTTTTCATATTTTCGATTTCTTTATTTGTAGGATAATATCCCATACTTCTCATCATATCAGAAATAGCAAATAATGGTACTTTGTCATCTAATTTTCTTGCCTTTGTTGTATGTTCGTCTTTACTTCTTATTTATGAATAATAAAAAAAGTTTTTTAGATTTTAATGCGTAGGACCATCTTCACCTCCTTCTAATAATTTTGGGAATGGATCTTCTTAAGCGTTTGCTATATGTTTTTTTAAAAAATAATTAAAACATATATATATATATATATATATATATATATATATATATATATATATATATATATATATATATATATATATTTATATATTTATTACTTGCAAATATTTACTCTAAAGCTTAAACATTAACCTTCCATATATTTATACAATAATCATCTTAACCAGAAGTAAAAAAATATTTACCGTCATTAGTACTACTTATACTAGTAATTTTACCAGGATGTGCTATTAAACCCATTGTTTAATTTGGATTTCCTTTACGTATATATTAATAAGTATTTATATTTTTTTCTATTTTAAATATACCTTCTAATGGTAGTTTTATAATTCCGACAACTTTTTCTTTAGTTGAATAGGCTAAATATTTATCTTAATAATCATTTTATGCATCGTTTGGATTTAAAATTAAAAGCTTATTAATAGCACCACCAGAAGTAGGTCCAAGACATGTTTTTTACAAACTTTAATTTATAATAATTAATATAATATATATATAAATATATAAATATATAAATATATATATATATATATATATATTTTACATTTAAAATTATTTTTCATAAATTGCCATAATTTAACTTTATATTATTCATTAGCAACTAATAAAACATCTTCTTTATACATATTTATAGGATACCAAATACATGCTGTTGGTATACATTCTTATTCAATCTATTTTTTTTTAATATAAATATAATAATACAAATAATTACAGGATAAACAGCCTTCAATTTTAATCTATCTACAAATTTAATATTTGTTTCTTTTTATTTAGTTACATCTATTTCAATAACTTCATATTCAACTAGTTTCATATCAGCTCCTATACTAAATAATTTATAATATTTATTTCCATTTTCATCTTTTGATTCACCAAATGCTATTGATTTTATTTCTGCGTGATGTACTCTATGTTTTCCTACAAATTACCATTCCTTAGGATTGTTAGGATCAAATGATTTATAATCTAAATATATATATATATATATATATATATATATATATATATATATATATATATATATATATATATATATATATATATATGTGTATATATATATATATATCTATATAAAATATTTTTATATATTTATATGCCTATAGTAAACAAAGTAACAGCATAATCTTAATCTATAGTAGCCAAATTTTTAGAATCCGAAGAAAAAACTTACATAAGTACCTTAGCTTTAGCTAAAAAATAAAATAAAATAAAACACACATATATATATATATATATATATATATATATATATATATATATATATACCTTAATCGCTTTCTGAAATTTCCAAAACAGAACTTTACCATTCCTATTTTTAACAATCATAGAAGTGTAGTTTTCCCTTATTAGTAGCTATACAAAGAAAATTTCCATCAGGTGAATAATCAATACAAGTAGGTTAACTTGGTTAAAGTAGATTT